TTATTAACTTCAAAATATGTTTCAGAGCGATATGAAACAGAGGCACAGAGGTGTCTCAATGTCGGCTGCATTTAAAGGAGGTTCAAAATATCCTCAATCATGCGCCATTAACATCTCTGCTTTGTCTTCCTCTTTTCTTCTTCAGTGGTCTTTAAGATGTCACATCACATTGTTGTTCCACAATCCATAATGCTACTGTCGGGCGTGACACTGCCATCAGTCAGTTTGGCTCCATAAGCATATCATCAACATCACAAAGATGCTGTGAGAGGAATCCTGCTGAGAGGAGGAAGTGATGCTGCTGAACAGAAAAACAGATGTCACAAAAGTGCTATCCAGCTGTGACAAGAAGATAAACAGCTGGTAAACAGAGCTTGTGTATGTGAATTACGACTTTGGCATAAGAACAAGATATTTTTAGTGACAGGAATTTCAGTTAGCATGTGGTCCTGTGTGCTATGTTGGAAAGACACACACATTGATCATTATAACATCAAATAATAACACTATATACCATACAGCCTTAGATACAACACTAGGCTAGATGTTTTTGACGTATTTTGTCATCGTTCATTGTGTTTAGTGTGATGGAGGAAGACATACATCTAAAGGAGCACTAACACTTCAGATAATTCTAAAACATATAAAGATAAAAAAAATGTTCAAGAGTTATATTCAAAGATACAGAATATCTCACTAACATATCCGTCTGTTTGGTTTGGAGCTAGCGTCAAGAAGTAATTCATTTATATAAAAGCTTGTGCATATGATGACTTTGCAGTAGGGGTGTAACGGTTCACAGAAGTCACGGTTCGGTTCATACCTCGGTTTGGGGGTCACGGTTCGGTACGGGTTTGGTACAACAAGGAAAAGCAAAAAAAAGTCCCAAATGCATAATTTTGTTTTGCTGTTATTTATTTGTAACAGTAGTGCAAGTTTTGGTATGAAAATAAGGAACTCTAACATTTGGAATCATTAACTGTGTTACACTGTTAAAAACAAACCACAAACAGTAACACACACACTCATGGCCATATTATTGATAATGGCTGATGTCAAACACAAAGGTTGTACAAGCTGTACAACTAAAAATAATGTCTTGAAAATATTAAAATAAATAATAATAAAGTCTTTGAATCACAATCAATAAAAGGCAATACAGAACTGTATAACATCTCCTGATGTCATAATATAAAATAAATACAATGATACATATAAAAATAAAATCTGTACCTTTAGGAGCAATGTCTAACATGTGTAATTTACTTATGCCTAAATAAAGGTACTCAAGCTTTACTCTATTTTCAAGTTTTTCTTCAAAAAGATGAGTTTGTCTACGTTGTCAGTAGTGAGGGCAGATCTGTTGGCGGTAACTATGTCACTTGCCGTCGAGAAAACCCTCTCTCTGGGGACTGAGACTGACTCGGATGTGATTGAGCATGTTTGACGTGTTACCACTAGCATACCGCACCACTGTCGAACAACGCCGACACACGCGTCCATGTCCGATCCACAACTCGCACCCCATTATTGTTGTAGTCCACAGGGAACCCGAAATGTTCCCACACACCTGATTTAAAAGAAGCAGGTGGGTCTTCTAGCTCCTGTGTGTTGTGTGAACTCGCCATACTAACTTTTCTTCTTCATGTATTGTGTTCGTTTTGTTCTTGGCCCCGTCTCAGGTCGGTTAAATGAAATCCTTGCGTCCTTCATTTGCGTCGTTTCCCTGCCTCTAGTCCCTCCCACCAGGGAAGCATGGAGAGACGCAAGGAAACCACGAGAAGCAGGGAAATGAGTTTTAAGAGCAATGGGACGTCCTTTCCTCCGGAGCGTCACGTGAAGCCTCGTCCGTTTGTGATGACGTCGCACAGCTGTTCGTCTGACAGCAGCTCTGTCCCCGTTGTTTTCACAAACACCCCCACCACACATTTACTGACACAAACATTTGTATCATCTGTTGTAGGTTGTAGACCACAATAAATAAAATAAAATAAGAACTCATTCTCAAAAAAGATAAACGCCATTCTTAAAATGTATAAACGAACAATAGTTTGATTCATATTGATTAGAGTGCACAATAGAAATAAAATAATTGAGAGAAGAAAATGAGATATGTTATCTATCAAAACCTAGTTAGATTAACATTCATTGGATTGCACACTTTGTTTGTTTGTGTGGATATGTAGCACATTAACATTTTAATAGCACTTAATGACTGACTGAATGGAAATGACAATAAATGAAAATGTAAAACGAACAAAGCGATCATGAAAATGTTTCCAATAAATGAATAAAATGATTTTTGACCACTTTGTTGTTCAGATATATCACATATTTGTAACTAAATGATACATGAATTGAAACAAAACACGGTATAAACTGAGGAGTGACTCTCGTGAGTTTCATGTATTTTCTTCACTCCGCTGGGAAACTGCTCTCATGTCAAGAAGCATGAGATCAGTGCAAGCACTGCATCGTCCAATCAGTGAGCGATACACAGTAAGGGGGCGGGGCGAGTATCTGAGGATTTAATCGGAGGATGGTCTGGTGGTTCCTCGGTTATCGCTCCTCCATTATCGCTCCTCGATCCTTGGTCCTCCGGCAGAAATAAGAGCCATGGGACGGTACCAGTGGCGGATTTAGGATTGTAGGAGATCCGGGGCTTAGCCCAGGAGTTGTTGGGGGCTACATTTTTTAAATATTGAAATTGAAAGCATCAATCTGGTGCACTTTGAGAGCAACATTAACTCTACCTTAATAACACCTTAAAGCGGACAAAAGGCACTGGAGAACACTTATTCATTAACACCCTTTAATGAAGCAAACTAATGCCTTAACTCACTCAAATAGTAGTTTACTTATTAAGGTGAAACGAATGTGCGTAGAGTTTTAAAGGATGCGGATAGTCTCACCTTGATTCTGGCGCATTGCTTATCGTTTTATAGATCTATTCTCATCCACCATTTTTGTTTGTGACGTAAAAAATGTGTAAGAGTCACGTTTCTGAATCGGACACTCTGAGTGGATGCAGTCACAGCCAATCGGAGTCTGATTCAGAGGGTTGCCTGTCAGTTCCGCGAAAACAAAATAAAAAATGGAATACGTTATTTTAGTGTCTTAAAACTAGACTGAGGTATGAAGGGTTAACGTTACATCTTAGGATAATTTTTAGTCATGTTCTGTATACATACTAACATAAGGGTATACTTAGTGTGGTTACTCCATGTTTACTAGCTATAACATTAACGTCACATCACTCTTTTTCACTTCTTACTCAGTCAGCCAGAGTGCAGATATCACCATTAGATTCACAAACCTGAAACATTATCCATTTCTTCACTGCTGGTGATGACATTGTTGTCAGCTGCTGATACTGCTGCTGCTGCAGCTTGTGGTGCCTGCTTCAATGACAATAACTTTCTAATATCCATAACTGTATAGGCTATTAGCTTAAAACTCGTTAGGCACTAGGAAGGATCACTTCTACTTCAGGGCAGGCTACGCAGTACGTAGGCTAATGTCCCGCAGCGGATGACTCTCTGGTGGACTCCGGTACTACACATTACTCCCGAGACGTTTTAAAAAAAAAAAAAAAAATAACATTTTAATTTTTTAAGTGAAACATCCGGGGCTTTTCAGAAAACATCCGGGGCTTGAGCCCAAATAGCCACCCCCTAGCGCCGCCACTGGACGGTAGTCAAGATGGCGCAGACAAATCAACTTCCGGTGAGACCGAGGACCGAGGAGCGAGGAAATTAAAATAGTCGACCTGCCCTTGTTCTTCATTTGTTATTTACGGGCGGCTGGCTTTTAGGCGCAATACCGCCCCCTGGATTATATATAGTGTAATACTGCCCTGAGTGACAGACTTTTTTCCCACTCGTAAAAAAAAAGGCGTATTCGCCGTGTGACTGCATGTGCCGAACCGTGACGTCCAAACCGTGACGTCCGAACCGTGACGTTCGAACCGTGACGTTCGAACCGCGACGGTACGGGACGAATATGGATACCGTTACACCCCTATTTTGCAGGCAATGAAAGTTTATTGTATCGGAACCAATTTGGTTTTGTATAGTCCGAGTCATTTGAGAGAACTGGTTGAATGCAGATAAACAGCGTGTGTGAAGCATGACAAAGGCAGAAGACATTGAGCAATTTGCACTTGGATGAGCCAGTTTTGGTTACTGTTTTAACAAATCTTTATATGTATACCAACATGAGTTTTTAACTCATTCACTCAACCCTAACACTTTCTCTAATAAGTCTATCTGCGAATTTCCGACCCCACACACATGCACATAAACTGAATTGTCAATGTGAAAATGGTGGCTTTCTTAAGAACTAATAATTGCCTTAAAGCCTGTTACGAGTATAGTTTTCTTCCAGGTATATTATGATTAATTCCCAGAATGTTCTAATCTGCTTTGACGCTGCAGATGTATAAGCACTTTGCCATAGGTCAGGATCGTTCGCAGCAGAGCCAGAGGAGGTAACAGTCAAATCCACGCAATGCTGAGAATGGTAATGTGGCATTTACTCAAATAACATGTACCCCCGGCCACCCCTCTCTTTTAAAATCCACCAGCACTCTTTATGAAAATGACTTGTAAAATCACACTTTAAAGTCAAATGAAAAAAGGCTGAAATATATCCTTAAATGACCGAATAAAGTATTTTGTGAAGCTGTCTGCCATTGCCTCAACTGTGTGGAATGTGTGTGTTTGTACAGAAACACAGAAACACACACTATGGTGAAACTAATCCTGTTACATTGTCTGGAAATGTGTCTACTCTGGCGCACTGTAACCTTGATTTTGCTGGGAAAGAATGACAAAATCTGTGTTTTTCAGCCTTTTTTGTCCCTTTATTTGATCTACAAGTGGCATGCTGTTCTCGTCACTGGGCATCCTTATCAGTGCCGCCCAGAGCCCCACCCCTCCATGGCCGGGGAGCAAGTGCACTGGATGATTGCACACACACATACAGTACAAACACAACAACTCGGCCAACGTGGTTTTATTCATGTGAGAGGCTGAGGGTTGAAAGAAGGTGCTGGGAAGATTTGTAGCTTTGTCCCAATTCTCACCTCAACCCTTCCCCTTATTTCATTATCACCCGCAGCTGCACAAAAAAGTAACAGAAACAGAGTCTCAAAAGGTCATGATGAAATGACTCCATCCAGGAGAACTCACAACCTGTGCACATCATCCACCTCAGGAAGCAAAACGAGATGAACAACTAAAGAACATTCTAAAAATAGTCTATTTGGCAGTAGGTTAAAGAAATCTCTTCACTACTACAACATGCAGTATGTGTTGTATTTCATGAAGAAAGAAGACAACATAATTATGGAAGTCATTCAGATTAATGCGATAAGTAACAATACAATAAAACAATATATTGGAATTTCTTAGTAAGAACCAATGCTAGCAAAACGTTTAAAAGGCTAATTCTAGATAATGTATCGCCAATACAGTATATGGGCTTTCATCAACAGACATGAATGCCATTTTTCAAGGTGATATGTTATTATTACGGACAGCTTACTGTTGTTTCTAAACACATTGGCAAACATCTATAGTAATATTTACGATTAAGAAAAAGCCGACAATTAAAGACTATCTATAAAGCTTAAGTTATACAATGTGCTTTAATGTATTTTCTATTTTTCGTTTATGTTTGTGTTAAAGATGTCTCTCACCAGAGAGAGCACGTTGCAGCATTGTGTGCATGATGTCATTTACTAATTTCTTGCACTTTGGAAAAGGAGTTGGATTTCTGATACATAGAGCATGGATCACACTTTTAGTTTTATTGAACAATCTAATTTTATATTGCATTACCATCCTTTGCCTTGATCTGTTCATAAGATGTTATGAAAAGCCGTTCATGCTGTAATTGTGGTGATTAAACTTATTTCAAAGAAAGCAGAAACAAGGAGTTGAGAGTTGTGAACACCACATACACACAGCCTACAGTAACTTGCTTTTATTTGGGTGTATCATGTTGGTGTATACATGTATTACATGTCGAGCTAAAGTGAGCAGCCATGTCCTTTCACATTTCAGCATGGAAAAACTTGACATGTGGGAGTCAGCTCTGTCACCTCTGGCACAGACCTCTTGATCCTCCATCCTCTGACTGACAGCTCCCATCTGTGGGGAGACAGAGAGTAATGTATGTGGCACACAACAACAGTACAGTATATAGTCAGGGTTATTGTGGTAGTTTTAGATGTATTTTGTGATCCTAACATTATGAGTGATATAAATATTATAAAAGTAAGACATTTTAAACTTTTAATATATAAAGTAAAGAAATAAGTTAAGTAGAAGAGTAGGAAGTAGGAACCAGTGAATGCTTGTCAAGTCTTAGCCCCTTTTTTGTACTTAATCAATACACTTTCCAACTATGTGCTACACACACACACACACACACACACACACACACACACACACACACACACACACACACACACACACACACACACACACACACACACACACACACACACACACACACACACACACACACACACACACACACACACACACACACACACACACACACACACACACACACACACACACACACACACACACACACACACACACACACACACACACACACACACACACACACAGATCAAATTGTTGGAGAAAATAAAGGGAATGAAGCACTCAAACAAACCAAGAATAATTCAATAAGACTAAAAAAAACATAACAAGATTAAAAACAAGCTACATAGCTGTATCCTGATTTACTATGCTAATTCTCCTATCCCATCATCCATCACACACATTTGTTTACGTGTTGTATCTTTAAACGTTTCAAAGTTGGTAAACCTCAAGGCGAGGGGTGAGAACCAGAGGGGCGTAAGTGACATTTGACCAACTTTACAGGAGAGCCAAAACAAAAAATGACCATACTTTATCCTGACTTAAAGTGTACAGAGTGTACAGTAGTACCCCTCCGAACTGTACAAAGGCCCTTTTTTTCTGTCGGTCTCAATGGCTGCATGAACACTGTCACATTCCATCTTGCTGTGCACACTCCATGAATGTATGATCAATAATGGAGATGGGCAAGGTTTTAACTGCATGGAGACACATGGCACTAAAACCAGCATTCCTGTTCTGCCCACCACATGTGTCAGAGTACAGCACCACATGCTCAGTACCTGAAAGAGTTGACAGATACTGGAACATGCATGTGCTGATCTCTGATGAGTTGAATTCTCTGTTGAAGATGGATCTGTAGAAACTAAGTTTCCTTTGTCACTCGGCATTGACTTTGAATCCTGGATTATTTCATTCTCTTCATCAAGCTCTTCTGCATCTTGAAATAAGCTTAGTAACACTTCTTCAGCAGTGAAAAGCTTTCTTCTCATGGTTGACCTAGCTTGCTTACATATGCTTGCTTACTCCTCTTCTCCTTGTACACAAACTCGCTCGGATCAGTCATTAGCCCGCATGGTTTTTCTTACCACTGCTACGCTGACGACACCCAATTAATTCTGTCCTTTCCCCGCTCAGAGACCCAGGTCGTCGCACGCATCTCTGCTTGTCTAGCTGACATCTCTCAGTGGATGTCTGCTCACCACCTCAAGCTCAACCTTGACAAGACTGAGCTGCTCTTCCTCCCGGGAAAAGATTGTCCAACTCTTGACCTGACAATCAACATCGGCACCTCAGTTGTTTCCCCGACTCAGACTGCAAGGAATCTGGGTGTGACCCTAGATAACAACCTGTCCTTCACTGCAAACATCGCTGCTACAACCCGCTGCTGCAGATACACGCTTTACAACATTAGGAAGATACGTCCCCAGCTGACTCAGAAAGCGACTCAGGTTCTGGTCCAGGCTCTCGTCATCTCACGCCTAGACTACTGCAACTCCCTCCTGGCTGGTCTACCTGCATGTGCCATCCGACCTCTGCAGCTCATCCAGAATGCAGCGGCTCGTCTGGTTTTCAACCTTCCTAAATTCTCCCACACCACTCCGCTCCTCCGCTCCCTTCACTGGCTTCCGGTAACTGCTAGAATCCACTTCAAGACACTGGTACTTGCTTACCGTGCTGCGAATGGATCTGGCCCTTCCTACATCCAGGACATGGTTAAACCGTACACCCCAGCGCGTGCACTACGATCTGCATCAGCCAAACGACTCGTTGCGCCCTCGCTGCGAGGGGGACCCAAGTTCCCATCGGCGAAAACACGTGGGTTTGCTATCCTGGCTCTAAGATGGTGGAATGAGCTCCCCATTGACATCAGGACGGCAGATAGCTTGCACATCTTCCGGCGCAAACTGAAAACTCATCTCTTTCGACTCCACTTCGAGCGTTAGAACGATTAACGAAGCACTTTTATACCAATAAAGGACTGGATTACCTAAAGCCAGTTGAGTAGCACTTGAAATGTTTGGCTCTATGAAACCTGATATACTTATATGATTCTGTTTTCTTCAAGGTTGTGTCTTCCTGGTCGAATGTACTTATTGTAAGTCGCTTTGGACAAAAGCGTCAGCTAAATGCAATGTAATGTAATGTAATGTAATATGGTGTCAGCCATTTTGACTCAAGTGCTATCCAAAGGCTTTACCCATAATACATTTCTCAGGGCCAAAAGGGCGTAAGTGCACTTACGTCCTTTTGGCCCCAAATAGTTCAGTGTGTTCTGTGTTAGGTCTTTTGGTTTTTGATGAATAACTCTGGATTGGTTTTGAATTCACATGCACCCTTTTGGCAGTAGAAAGAGCTCATTGAGAGCTTTCATTTGATATATATATAACTCATTTTTGACCAAAATGTCACTTACGCCCCTCTGGTTCTCACCCCTCGAAGTGTTCATCATCCCTTTTTGGTCATGTTAAAAGTTAGCTCATTATTTTTTCTTGCTGAAATCTTCAACATAACATGTTAACATATAATGATCTGGATTTTCGGTTTTGGACTTTGTAATATATTGCAAAATAAGAGAGTTATAAGTCCCTGTTTCAAAAGCATATTTCCACTTTGTGCATTGCAATCAATTCCCATATATTAGGAGAGTTAACTTAATCCAAATCAACTTAATCAATCAGTCATAAAACCGACATATATTAAAGTAATTGTGAATGGAGAATGACGAAGAGATGAAAGTTGTTTAAATTGGAATGGGTGATAAAGTTTGAGATCTTCTTTCATCCCGACTACTGATATAACTTGTTTAAAAGGCGATTTCTTTTTTTTTATGATTTGATTGAGGATCAGATTGGGCAGTTGCAGGAATAAAGAGCAATTACTTTCATTAAAGGCAGTCCATTAAAATTGTAGATCCTGCTAAGATATGAGAGACTTTGACTTGCAAATTAGGAATATAACATTTTATTATAACCTTCACAGCATATTGTCCTGTCACAGTTGATATAAAAGAGTTGCGAAACATATTTTAACATGTGCGTAAAGGTACCAAGGCTCAGCATTGAAACCAAGGTCTGTGCAGAGTTGGTGCTGCGTATCCTTGATAGATGTTAGATAACAGAAAATCTTCCTGCTGCTGCACCTGCTTGTCCTCGGGATGTGTAAAATGACCTTTATGTGACATTCTTGTAGAAAACACGGGTTACTAAAAGATCAACGGAAAGTTGACCAGCAGTATTTTTTAACACCCTGTCACCTAGATTTCAAGGAGGCTTTAATGAGAGTACAACTCCTTGTACCTGTCAGCAGCCCTCACTTCCAACTGTACTGCAGATCTTCCAAAAGGAAGGTCGAGAGATTGTTGATCCTCAATACAAAGGATTAGGAAATAATGGGTTTTGAATTGCAAGTGAAATGAATTAAATGTAATGGCCCAGAACGTGATATAAGACATTTGCAAAAGCTTACGTGACTTGAAATGTATTCCAGCAATCAGAAAACAACATACGGCAACCTACATCAGTAAAGGTTGATGATTCCACACAACCAATTAAAGTAAATGTCAAACCCACAGAGATGTAGCTGGGTTAGCATCCTCAGCTGTGGATTCTAAGCAGTGGAAGAGCAGCATGAGATATGTAGCCAATACATTAAAAATAAATAATCCAGGCCATCCATTACTCCCTTGGTTAATGGCATTAAGAGCTGGATAATCTATTCTCATGTAAAATGCAATCATTAGCATACCCGGCTAACTAGTTCATGAAAAAAGTGTGAACCATAGACAAACTTTGTTTGTGGAGATACAATTAGATATTAACTGGTGAGGTTGCCAATTTCTTTTGGCTCAAGCCTTTGGCACAACATCATGTAGCTATCAAATATAAATGAAGAGTTCTCAATTTAAAACAATTCAAATCGGCGCTCGCTCCCATCAGCCACATTCAACTAGTCACACCAAAATCAAATCAACAATAAACTACAATAACGACAACTTATTCTTAAGTACATTTAAATCCAACCTGAGTTAGGCCACAACGAGGGTGGGTTTGTCTACACAACAAAATGCAGAGTGAATTCCGTTAAAAAAGTCATTTCTGTTGCAAATACGTCAAGATAAACCTTTCCTCCTTTATTTTCTAATGAAATGACATGCTCTGCCACTGAGAAAGATTTAGTGTTGAATCTGAGATATCAGTAAAATACACACGCCACAATCCCCGAACCCCAATGCCTGATTCCAATTTAATATCAAGTGAAGCAGACATGGGGGTATGTTTGATTTGTCTTACACCCTCAACCTAACACCCACACCTAATATTTTTGTACTAGTATGAAACTGTCAGAGAAAAGACGAAACTGATGGAAACAATGTGCTCACTTAAAACTCAATAATGTATCATTTATTTAATTTCTCAGAGTTTGACAGACAGAAACATTCCACATTTGAGGGGAAACATATGCAATGGTTTGTTGAGGGTTCATTAAGTAAATTACATTTTAAATGAATAGATACAAGCCTGCACTCAAAAATGAAAACATTGACTAAATACAACTTATTTGGTCAACAAGTTCCATGAAATTGTAATAGTGTTAGCTCATCCTCTGTAACTTGAACTTGAATGAACTTGTATAACAGGAATACATCATTATAATTTGATCAATATGAGATATTTAAGCTTACCCAAATTAAGTCAGATATGTTATATGGACTTATAGAATACATTTTCAGATATTGTACACTTTCTAGTTACTAATTTAAAGGGATAGTGGAAATGCGCGAATTTTGGGTTTAATTTATGTATTTTTATTAAAAATAAGCATAATGAACAATTTTTTTTAATTTCATGCGCCTAGTTTCATTTTATTTTCAATTTTACTGCGCCCTCTCAATGAAACGAAATACTTCGGGAATCGTCGGGAATCTTCGGGTGATGAGAGCAAAGGAAGACGGGCACAAACAATGGCGGACATTCAATAGCATTTGCATGTGAATAGCCGACCTTTATTATGGTGAATAGATGTGTTTTGTATGGCTGTAGTGCGACAGCAAATGCAGAGAATGGCGTATCGACGCATGCGTTTCCAAGAAACCCAGCCATTCGTCGTCAGTGGGTGAAATTTGTTCAGATAACACGGGCAAACTTCACGGAGCCGAAGCTGACGAGTAATTCGGCAGTCGTGTGCTCCCGTCATTTTACTGACGATTGTTTCGAGATTCCTCTGTCTCTAGCTCAAATTGAAAGTGGAATACATAAGAAGTGAGTATTTTATTATGTTTTCTTGTTGATTTAATGCATCATTAGCCTGTACCATTTTGTACAACGCCATTTATCCGGTACACAGTGTCGAATGTGTACACTACAGTCATCATATAGACATGATAGACTAACAGTACTGTGAGTACAGCCTACACTTGACAGGCAGCCTGGCTATCCTAGGATGTTGTTTACTTTCTCTTTTCTGGCTGATAGCTCCAGGAATTCGAGGTCTTACAGTGATGACATTACATGTGTGGAATCTGTGGAGTCTCAGCTTTAAATCGTATATCTTGTTTGTGCAGTTAAGATACGGGCATTTCTACCGTGTGTTGTGTGTAAAAAAGCGTTAGCATTAGTTAGCATTGTTTCGCTCAATGCTAATTCAAAGGCTTGGTATTACTCTTGTGTTTTTTCTAGCTAACAATTGTTCTTATTGTCAGTTAGCGGAGTTTCTTACCTTTAAAAGGGTATGAAACATTAATAGTTTCATAAATGTTAAGAAGCCCTGAGACATGTGAGAGAAAAAAAACTGTGGGAGGGGTCCACCTTCGGGCTTAACTGGTTAACAATGATTAATATTTGTAAAGGCTACAGGTGATCTTAAGATGCGTGAGCTATGCTTATGGACCTACCAGTCAAGATTATTTGTGCGTAGGGGTGCATCATCTGGCGCCTGGTCCTGGTCATCCTCGCCATTGCCCATGCCGTGAACCATCACCTCGGGCTCGGGCTCGAACAAATAAGGACGTAATGGTCCATCGTCTGGCTCAATATTGTCACCATCGTCGCTTACTGAACCGGATTCAGATTCAGTTCCTAAAACGACATTTTCGTAGGAAAGCCGAGAGGATGTTTCTGAATCACTGGATACCTCGTACAATCCTTCTTCTTTGTCTGGTATATTTGCCCTTCCACGTTCATTCTGCATAGACGCCATGGTTTGTTATCGTATAGAGAGGCGAAGTCCCTCCCCTTCCGAAAGCCTCCATGGGACCCCGGAAGCGGAAAATTATACATTGAAGTCAATGGAGAGAGAAAGGTTATCTTTTGATCCCGTTTGAATTGTGCCACGAATGACACATATGATGTTTGTCAATTTAAAAGAACATTTTGCAAGTCAAAAAAATAAAAATGTGTCGTAAAACTGTGAAGTTACACATTTTTTCGTGTGAAACCGCTCAGTGAACTACAGGTCTCTCGTCTCGCACAATACGCGTCACCAACATAAAGATGGCCGTCACGTTAGCACATTTCACCACATTCTTTCAGAATGAGAATAAAAGTATTTTACGAGGTGAAAATCACTACAAGTCTGGGCACGTTGAGAGCTGTACCTATATGAAAGGGGAGTTAGTCGGTTCTGTAAGAGCCAGCATGCGGGACCGGCTTTACAAGGTTTCGGTGAGTAATATGAGTGCAATGTGTAACGTTAATGTCAGCTAGCTAACATTAGCTAACAAGGTACACTAACGTGTTTTGTTTTAGCAACTAGTTTTCTCCTTAAGAACTTCGTGGTCTCTGTGTATGCTGTGGATAACATTAGTGTTCACAAGAACAAGGTACACTCCCGTGTTTTGTTTTAGTTGATCTTCAGATTGAAGCGGCCAGTTTTATATCGACTATACTGTATGTGTGATCTCCTTTTTCTCGTTGTGTCATTTGAGTTTATTTGCTGTGTGTCGATTCAAGGATTTTGGTTATCTAGTCACAGCTGTGTGTGACTCCCTCTGGTACACCGGTATGTGTTTTCCTAATGTAGAGAGCATTGATTAATTAATAAACTACACACTGAGTCTAGATCCTGACCAAATCCTTTTTTATTGTTGATCAAATGTTTTTCAAAAATGTATTCATACACATTTAGAAAAATACAATGTACAATCACAACCAATACAACACAAATTACAAAAAATACAGAAAAAACAAACAATAACAACAGACAAGAGGACAAAACTATGGAAAAATAAACCCTCCCACCCCCAGATCCGGACCATCCTTGTATTATTGCTCATTCAATCTATTATAGCATGCTAACAAATGGTATTTACTTTATTTTTACAGATCTGCATGGGAGACGATGGCGCGATGCAGAGCGCTGTCTGTGATTGTGCACAGGAGATGTACAAATGCAGCCACGCTGCAGCATTGGCAATATTTGCCATGTGGCAGATCAGCTCCACAGATGTTGAGTGCCAGTGGAGGAAGCCTGGCACTTCCAAAGTAGTCCAGCCGGTGTCTCAACTTTACCAACAGCGAGAGGAGACATACAACCCACTGGCCAGAGACATCGCCAACTGTCAACTGGGGGGTTGTAAACGAGGCCGAAGGGGTGAAGGCTTTTGTGGAGGCCTATCAAGTGACAGTGTTCGAATCAAGTCTGGTCTCTTTGTGAGTGAGTCGGGTGTTCTGGGAGCATCACCCGATGGACTTGTGCAGCCATCTGCCCTGCTGGAGGTGAAGTGTCCACACAGCCAGAGGAACATGACCATCATGGAGGCAGTCCAGTTACCATCCTTCTGTCTCCGTGAGGAGGGTGGGTCATATATTCTCAAGGAGAATCACCCATACTGGCACCAGGTCCAAGGGCAGCTGCACATCACAGACCGGAGTCTCTGCTACTTTGTTGTGTGGACCACGAAGGAGGCGATCATCATCCCCATCCCCAAAGACCCTGCATGGCATGGAAATCTCCTCCTCCTGGAACAATTCTACACCCAGCATATGCTCCCTGTGTTGGCCAGTAGAGAGGAGGACATTTCAATAAACATACTCTTAACACCCTCGGACTCTGCGTTGTGTTTCGTATGTGTGATGGGGTGTTATGCAGAGGGGAGGAAAACAGGACACAGCAGATTGGGATTGTGGTGGAGATGCTGAGCAGTTATTTAATTGTTGCATGTAATTATTATTATACTGCGTGCTTCTTAGTTATTCCATCTTTTGCTGTAACATGGATCTGTATGTAACTCTATATTTACTTGTTATCTACCACACTTCCTTCTACATCATACACCATCATTATACATGATGGTGTATATAGGATATATATATTTGTATACATATCTGTAAATTGTATAATTTTATTTAAACGTCTTTTTGATCTCTCAAACTGAGTAAGATTGACAATAAAGTTGACTTTGAAAAATATATATATTCTTTATGAAAATAGTTGACTGTTGTCAAATGAATCCAAATGAAACGTTGGACTGAACTACAACTACGCCTTTAAATCTCTACGGACTGTTTTTCAGTGGGATGGCAAGTTCCTATCTTTAAACATTTATTAGTTTTTTCTCAGAACAGATTTGATTTTCTGAAGTTAATTTAACTTTGCCGACCATGTAAGGTCATCATTAAAAGGTACAATCAATTTGTTTAGGGTTGACTAAAATAATGAAAAACATTCATTTGGATAATTTACTGACAGAATAAGAAACTCAATGATGCTCTACTCACCTGTTCCCTTTTTATAAAGTGAAACAGTTGAAACGATAGATTTTAGTAAACTTAAAAACAACCTTCTCCAAAAGCTATCAAGGAATATACCGAATACTTGTTTTAGAACTTTATTACATATTTTTATATAAATAGTTTGAATGATCCATAATTGACAGAAGCTTGTGTTTACACTGACCTGTTACTCATATATTAATGTCTTTGTAACTTCAGTAAACCACTACCTCACTAATTTCTTTCATTCATCACGGTTCAGTAAACTAAGTGATACATGAACCAGTTTAATCATTATAATAACGTAGGATTGCAACTCTTTGAAAATGTATGTGGCTCTTAAAAGAGCTGTTGTGTTTGGGTGTGCTGGTCTCAGGTCAGTCTAAGCCCTCTCTCCGCGGATGCGGCGGGCCAGCTGGATGTCCTTGGGCATGATGGGGACCCTCTTTGCTTGGTTCATCTTACTGGGGGGCAGCTACATGGATGTCGGTGCAGTCCACAATCATTGCGCAGTTGAAGGCAGAATGAATTTATTATTGACTCCGAATGAAGCACAACTTCATGTCATACAATGCAATGACTTTATTTGTAATTGTGTAAAAAAATATGAGCATTGATTAGCAAGCAGGACCTGCAGGAACAGAGAATGGTGATGGAGCTGGGAAAGAGAGAAGAATAAAGAAAACAGATCAACTTTATTATCGGATATTAAAAATTCAATTTCAAAACAAGTTGCCGCTCCTACAGTTTTCTAGTATGTAAAAATGATTTCACATCCATCCATCCATCCATCTTCTCCCGCTTATCCGTGGTCGGGTCGCGGGGGTAGCAGTTCCAGCAGAGAGCCCCAAACTTTCTTTTCCCTGGCGACATCAACCAGCTCTGACTGGGGGATCCCAAGGCGCTCCCAGGCCAGCGAAGAGATATAATCCCTCCACCTGGTCCTAGGTCTACCCCTTGGTCTCTTCCCAGCTGGACGTGCCTGGAACACCTCCCTAGGGAGGCGCCCAGGTGGCATCCTAACTAGGTGCCCGAACCACCTCAACTGGCTCCTTTCGACCTATGCAAAATATCACACTCAATACATGTGTGTCTCTGGGGGGTGCATTGTGCCTTTGATGTATATAAATAATATACCATAACCAAATACTATTACGTACAGTGGAAATCAGGTTGCCAGAGCAGGTCAGTGTGCATGTTCCTCAACGTCTCAGCAGTTACAGGTGAGGTAAAGAAAATAAAAGAGAAAAAAGGTCAGTAACAACACTTTAAAGTAACAACACTTTGAATAATTATCTCTTCTAACAATTTTCTCTCAATAAGCACACAACGACTGTCTTTCCAACAAACAGATTGTCATCACAATGAAACACGTCCAGAAGAATGTCATGCAAAGCTCCATGCCTGCCTTCGACTCTCCCTGAACTGCTTCCTTAGCACCCGGTGGAGGGCGCAGTAGGCTACTCTTCAAAAGTTTCACGAAATACTTACCATCATGTTTGGTTACTGTTTAACATTTTGGTTTACTTCATGTAATAAAATAATAACTTCATGGTAAGGCTACTAAAAATGACAAGGCTAAGTAATGTAATGCTAACTAACGTGCTCGCTACTCGTCGCTACTAGCTAGGTAGCTAACTTGACTATGTTCCATGCACAACATGTATATTACCTATGATATTACCTGATATGTCTGATCCAGCGACTCCTGGTCCTTTCATCAGACGGGAATCGATAGAAGGAGCAAGTGGTATGATCACTTTTATGACTACAACCTGGTACAAAGCACACAGGCATCTTGTAAAAGTGAATTTATTTTTAGCGATCTATAATTTATTGGAGGGAATAAATCAGTTATGAGATCTTCTTCTTCTTCGCTTTAATTACGAGTCTTATTATAAATCACCGAGCATGCCTGTGACATCACTTACGCGACCCAGAATGGGATTTGGGATTTGTAGTCTTTGTAGTAGCGTATTTTTCATAGTCTTATATTTCAGCAGTTTTACGACAAAATGTGACTTTTTTGACATGGAAATGATTGTTTAAGATTGACAAACATCATATGTGTAGTTCGTGGCACAATTCAAACGGGATCAAAAGATACGTGTTCTCTCTCCATTGAATTCAATGTACATTTTTCGCTTCCGGGGTCCCATGGTCCGGAAGTAGATGGGCGTGACTTCGCCTCTCCATCGTCTTCCTGAGTTTTCGTCACTTCCGGTTTGGCTGAGTCGAACATTTCGTTTCTAAAAAACTTCGGGGAAGCTGCAA